GCCTGGCACGGCCTTGGCGTGTTTGCTGATGTGTCCCTCCAGCAGGTACTTGGATGTACCACCAGGGAAGAGCAGGAGGATGTTGGCTGCCACAGCCAGCGTGCCCAGCACCAGCAGGCAGGGCCCCACGATCTGGCTGCACTTCCTCACACACATGGCTGTCCTGAGTGGGAATGGGGAGGAGGAGGAGAGGAAAGTGCTGTCACAGCCCCACAGTGCCCTGTAGCTCCTCCACCCTGAGCCCATCACACAGGTGAGTGCAGACAGGAGCTGTTGGTTTGTGGCGCTGGGTCCCAGCTCAGCCCACTGACACTGACCCTACTCGAGGGCAATTCCAATGGAAATCCTAACATTTCTTTGCCAAATGGGCAATGAAGTTTCAGACAATGTCAGGTCCCACACCAAGCCTTGAAACCTGTGTGACCGCAGGGTTGGCTCCTCCAAAACATGGCAGGGGCTTGGAACATGATGGTCTTTAAGGTCCTTTCCAACCCAAACCATCCTGGGATTCCATGAGAGTCAGCTCAGTTTGGCTTTCAGTGCTTACAAGTGGGAGGGAGCCAGGGAAGGGGTGAAATCCTTGGGCAAGGACTTGTGAAAGCACATCGGACTCTGATCAAATCCAACAATAACTCCATCCCCATCACACACTACTCCTGCCATAGGTCTGAGTATCCTGAAGCCAATTTACGTTAACTAAGGAAAGGTTATCACCTGTCCTCCAGCTCCATCTTAGTAAGTTATGAGTTCACCTAGAAGGTACTTGCCCATTTCCAGGTGATCCCTTGTCCAAAATTACCTCTCTTCTGCACCTTCCAAACAGAGATGTCCATTCGTTGCCCTGGGACCACTGAAAACAAACTGGTTTGCTGCTGTCCTGGCTCCCAGGATTCTTCTACCCTGTGCTCTTTTTGTTCAGGTTGAGTTTATGCATTTTCCCTTTTCCTGGTGGATTGCAACCCATTTCGCACAAGTTCCCCAGATGGAGCCTCTCCTTGCGCTGGCTAATGATTTTCAGGCTGACTCTGGCTGTGCAAAGCAGAAGTGACTGAGGCAGGAGGGCTCTGTGTGGTTGTTTCCATGGGAAGAGCTGTCTCAGCCTCCTTGTGCCACGGTGTCAGTGCCAGGAGGAGCAGCTCCAGCACAGCACGGCACAACAGGGTCTGCTAGAGAGCAGACACACCAGTCCCAGCAGGATGTTGGGGGCCAAGAGGGCTGAGTGTGGAGGAACAGGATGGCAAAACACTGCTGAGTGTGGAGGAACAGGACTGTGACCCCTGCGTGTGGAGAGGACACGAGTCAAGGCATCCAAGGTGGGCCACCAGCTCCACACATCCTGGAGTTCAGCTTTCCATCCTCTCCTCCTTGGTTACAGGGAATTTAGGGCCTCTCACCCTCAGTTCAGTCTTGGGATTGTGCATAGCTGTCCCTCCTCACATCCACAAGTATCCAGTGCTGAATTCCACCTCCCACCATGGAGGACCTTCTCAAACAGCTCTTGCTCCCCTGAGATCACAGCCTGGGCTCTCACCAGCCACAGCCTTTCTGCATGTCTCCCCTCAACCTCTCAAAGGACTCTCCTTCCCCTCCACTGCTGCGCTTATCCTGGAGAAGGCAGGTCTCCTTTCCCCCAGGAAGCTCCCCATGACTTGCTGTCCCCTGAGCAAGCAGCTTCTACCCAGCCAATACAGACCAACCCCTGTGCAAAGGGAGGCAAAGCCAAAGCACAGCTGATCCAGTCTCCACTAGGACCCTCAAAAGTTGAACTCCCTCCTGCCAACACATCCCCATGGCCAAATGCACAGGGATTCCAGCAAGGCCCAGGGAACACATCCTCCCTGCTTACCTGGGAGTGATGGCACCCGGAGCCAGCAGCCTTCACCCCTGGGATGAGCCCTGTGCTGGAGGCATCACCCATGGCTGACTATTTATGATGCCCCAGCATGTGCTTCTTCCACCACCCCAGGACTCACTCACCGCATTGGTCATGGTCCTTCCATCCCACACACGACAAGGCTCCCAGGGAAGGATGACTGTGCCCATCCTGCTCCTGCTTGTTCCCTTATCACTGGCAGAGCTCACCAAACAGGCACAACTTCAGGTTTTAAGGTTTCTACCAATGTCTGCACTAAATTCCAGTGTCTAATCACCCTTTCTGTGAAGAAATTCTTCCTGATGTCTGACTTAAACCTCACCTGGCACAGCTTGGGACTGTGTCCTCTCATCCTGTCATTAGTTGCCTAGGAGAGGAGACTGATCCTCCCTCTGGCTACAACCTCTGGTCGAGAAGTTGTAGAGGAGAATGCTCATGGGCTGTGCAGGCAGGAGGAAGAACCTTCTCAAAGAAGAGTTTGGAGAAGGTTCTTATCACTCCATGTGTTCGTCATGAGGACCTGAGGCACATCAGCTGCTTGGGACGAGGCTATCCCTGCCCACAACAGCCACGAGAGGCAAAGCTCAGCTCTCACAGTGCCTCAGGACAGTCTTGCTCTAATCTGATGTGTTTCAGAGTGGCTTTTCCTGCCAGCTGTCAAGGATATAAATCCTGCTCCAAGACAGGAAGAAATTGGTGATGGGGTTAGAGCCCTCAAGAGCCACATGGGAAAGGATGAATGGGTGAGGCTGGGTTATATCAGGCAATTCCATTCCTCTAGGAAAAGCTGAGAGGAGCAGATTATCTGACAGGACAATCTCTGGAAGGAAAATCAGAGTGCACCAGCACAGAAACCCCTGCTTTGCTCCTAAATAAGCTAGATTGGTCTCTAAGATGCAGACAGCAGTAAAGACAGAACATGCAGGAGAGCAGAGTGCCAAGAGCAATCTGAGTCCTCCTTCCTCTCATCTTTTACTTAGAGAGGAAGCACCTTCGCTCAGCTGGGAGAAAATGTGTTGCAAGCTTGTCTTGTGCCTTTGCTACGTCACGGCGAGCTGAGCTGCCCACATGGCCACACACATGATGTGCTCCATCACATCCCACCGGAAAGTCCTCACCACGCGGTGCGGAGCATCACGGTGACTCTGCCCCAGGACCTCTCCCTCACAGCCCTAGCAGTAATCACAGCAACCACAGGGTTGTGTCAGCCACACGTGAGAGGCTGTGCCTGCCCTTCTCACACCAGAGCTTACCTGGGGAGGCATCACCACAGCAACTATGGGCAAGGAACCTGCCTGCAGGTCACCCAGCCATGGCACAGCCCGACGTGGTCCCACACAGAGCCATTCCAGCTCAGCAAGGTCCTCCTGCTGACTCCTTTCTGCAGCTGAGGAGGAGTCTTGACTTTCCTGCTCTTCGCTTCCCCAAACTCCTTTGGGGCTAGGGAAATTGCATGGCAGGTTGGGATTCGAGAGTGGTTTGGCTTCAAGGAGAACCAAAGAGGTTGAGTTGGGTTTGAGTCAGTGAGGTGGAACTGCTCTGTGCCAAACCAGCCTCCACTTCAGTCCTGTCCAGAGGATTCTCAGCACAGCTCAGTGGTTCAATCCTCTACGTAGCATCAGCAAATCTATTTCTGCCACTAGTTAGCCAAGACTTCTCCAAACTTAGAACCATCAAGGTTGGAGGAGACCTCTAAGATCACTGAGTCCAACCATTAACCTGTCACTGCTGTAATCCCTAAACCATATCCTCCAGTGCCAGATCCAGACACGTCTTAAACACCTCCAGCGATGGTGACTCCACCACCTCCCTGGGCAATCTATTCCAATGCCAATATCCCCCTAGACAAGCCCTGCAGGGAAGCTGTGGCTACAACTGACAAGGAATACCAACACAATGATGCTGGATAATATTTGCTTTAGAGCCCTCAAGAATGTCACCTGATTTAATCCTTCAGACAAACCAACCCTGTCAAAAGTTGAGAGAAGTCTGCAGAAAGAAAAGGTAAATAGATTAAACCCAAGAGGCATCTGGAGTTGTGTGGTGTCCCTGTAGTGCCTTGCCTTGCAGACTGATGAAAAAAGATTTCCAGCTCAGCTGGAACAGGAAATATTTTCCTAAGCTGCATGAGGAGATCAGGGCATTCTTCAGCTCCAAACAGGGCAAGACCTGTGCAGTGGCTGAAGTTACTCTTTCAGTGGAGACCTACCTCCAGACAGGAGCATGAGGATGACCCAAAATTGGTCTCTTAAGCTTCTGCTTCCCCACTGTACCTGACAAGAACCTGTCCCAGAAGGGTCTTTGTTCATCAGATTTCATGCAAGGCCACGACAGGAACACCCCAAGGAGCCCAGAAGAAAACTGCAGGAGTTAGAGGCTCCGTCTTGACAACACCTGTGCCAGGAGGACAATGACAGTTAAGGAACAGAAAACCACATTTCCTCTGCTCTTCCATTGGAAAGGATGGAAAATCCTAGCCCTGCCTCTTTTTATCCATTTTCCTCAGGGTATTTTTCCTATCAAGGTCCCAAAATTTTATCTCACTTGAGGATTTTGCCACCTCTAGGATGGGCTGAAATATTCTCAGGAGAAGCAAGCAGCACACTGTCATCAAGAGCTCCTTAGCCTTCTACCCCAGGATCCCTATGGAAAAACTCAGGAACTCCCCCTATAACCCAGGGACAGACTTTCAATAGAGCCAAACCCACAAACCAACCCCAAACCCCCAGACACCAAGAGCTGCAGAAAGCTACTGAAAAGTTTGTTTTATTTCCAGGATCAAATATTACAATAGGACATTTACATATATTTATAAAAAATGCAGCAGTTGTGTATATAGATCAGAGGTTTCCTTGAGTTTGGTCCCTCCCAGCACAGTGAGCTGAAATCTTCCCAGTTACTCCTCTCCCTCCTCCTGTGGGAAGTTGCAATCGTTGAAGAAAGTGACCACTGCAAAAAGTCCTAATTTGAACCTGCACATTCACCAGTTGGAGGGAACAGCCTGGTTTGTAAAAGGTCACCTGTCCCAGAGACATCAGAGGTGTCTCTGAGGGGTTTTACCCAAGTGTTCTTCATATAAACCTGGTGTATAAAATAGCACCTCGTCCCCTGCCCTGCAGTCCCTCACCCCTCCGTGCCCCTCGCCCCAGCACCACATCACTGCGCTGTGCCATGGGCACTGCCAGCAGTGCAGGTCAGGGACCAAGCCCCAGATTTCTGCCACCACTCCCAGTGTGCCATGGCAAACAGCAGGTGACCCCCAGGCAGGCTGAGGCACTGGTTCTCCGACCGAGAACACACGTGTGTGTATATACATATGGCTCTGTTTGTGGGGAGTGGGCAGACACCAAGAATCTCATGGGCAAGGGGAGATTGGAGTGAAGATCAGCACAGAAGGGGCATCCATTTACCTCGCTGGCTCAGGAGCAGACATGGAGCACAACCAAACTGTTGGGCTGGGGCTGAGGAAGCCTTGGCAAGACACAGCCCTCAACAGACCTCAATGGGCAGTTGTCACCTCCAAACATACCTGTGGGCACTTCCAACCACAGCCAACACAGGGCTCACAGCATCAGTTTGGTTTGTCTTTACAACAGGAGCTGTTCTGTTTATAGGAAATAGTTTGTTAAAATAAATAACTAGCAAAGGTGAGGGAGAGGCTGGGCCTGAACCCACCAGAGGTGAGGGAGAGGCTGGACCTGAACCCATCAGAACAGCCACACAAGGCACAGAGGGTCAGCCACTTTGCACTTCACCCTCCTAGACCACATCTCTGCCACCTTCTCCTCTTGGAATATGGGAATCCCTCCTTGTTACCAACTTGACTAAGAAGGGGTTGAACCAGAAGAAAGCAGTGACATTTAATACAACCCAAAGAGGAACAAAGCTGGAGAGATAAGCTCTTGCAGTGACACACGTCTCCCCCCTCACATGGACATCCCACACAGGTCTCCATGCTCATAACCTGGTTTTACACGGCTTAGAAAAAGCCAACCCCAACCACCACATCCCTGCAGCCTTTGCACCTGATGAAGCACAAGAAGAAGAAGGAAAAGGAAGAAAACTGGTTTTAGCTCAGCCCACATTGCTCGAGTCCCTGCGAAGCAGCTTGGTGCTCCAGCAGAAGTTTGGGAGTCAGGCCCTTCACAGTGAGGTTACTAAAACCTGCACTGAACCAGACTCTGGAGGGGCACAAACCACAGCACTGGTGAAAGGGGAACCAGCAGTGTGCAATCTGGCAAGCTCTGAGAAACACAGCCCTGGAGGTGGTGGAAACTCAGCCTGGCAGAGGAGAGGTGTCGCTGCCCAGACAGAGGCAGCAGGGCAGGCAGCTCTGCACAGAGCTGGGGGAAAAGTCCTGCTTGAATCTACCTAGGAGCAATGGTACCTTTTACAGACAACTGTAATTTACAAGGCTACATGGACATTCCTTCACATTGGTGGTGTTAACTGAGCTGATGTATCAGGAACAGCAACACAGCTCAGTCCATGAAAGTCAAAACCTGCAAAAACTGCAGACCTGAACTCAAAGCCCAACCAAAACCACCCAAGTATGAGCAGAAACACTGGGCACAGCTTGTCCTGCCCTTCCTACTCCAGTGGGGAATGCTGTGAGGTTGAAGCTGCTCCATCAGCTTAACTTAAGAACACGTAGCACCAGGAAGATCCAAAATCCTCCTGCAGAAGGATCTCAAGTGGGAAGTAAAGGTGTCAACAGCACCTGGCAGGGAAAGCCAGCGCTTGCTCCACCTCCTGTTTGGGAATCCTAGATGTGGCTGGGACTAATGGACATTACATTCCAAAAAGAACCATGGTGAGATGGACAGCACAGGCAAAGAAAAGGTCTCCACAAGCAGCAAGAAGCTCCAGCTTGGAATATGTTGTCCCTGACCAGTTCTCTACCTAGAAGGACTTCCACTGCCTGTATCAGTGCTGCGGCTCCAAACTCATCACTCCTTGCAACACCACAGGCAAATTCTGACCAACGCCCACAGGAAGCCACAAGCCACAGCCTTGGAAGGATTTGCTTCCTTTGTCCTTCCTATTTCAACATCTTATTTCACAATAGGATTTAAGGCATTTTTTTCAACCTGTCCAAGGCAATTTGACCTTTGGATTTCACATCTAAAAGTGACTGTGGCAAAGGCTCTTTAAATAGTGCCCAACTAGTCACCACCTTTGCTGCTCAGAGCTGTCCCAGGCACAACTTGGTTCGTGTCTCCAACCACGTCCCAGCACAACACATCTGTCCAAAGAGCTGCAACAGGGCTGAGGATCTGAAGAGGTTACATCCTGGTTGGTGCTGTTTCTTAACAGCTTTCAGTCCCCACAGCACAGCTGAGTGACCTGTGCCACAGCAGAGTCTATTTGGGTTGGGAAGAAGGGAGAGAGGAATGAAGGGAGAGAAGAGACATGTAGGGACACATACTCCCTAAAAATTCTTTTCTCTGCCTCTTGCTGTCAAAGTAAAACAGAAGAAAAGTGACAGAAAAACACACACTGTGCTACAGAAACAAACAAAAAAACCAGGAGCATAATTTCTTGGACCAGAACAGACTACCAGAAACCACGAGATGGGAGAAAAAAAACATTTTCAATGCAAGCCTTCCAACTTGACATCCTTCTTTCTCTGTTGGAACAACTCCTGGTGCCACCACACTGCTCACAGCCCCACACACACCAGTGCACCCGGGGAGGAGCTGCCAATGAACCAGACCTGGGACTGTGAAGGCAAACTCAGTTCTGCCTGTGGAACTGCTCGCAAAGCTGATGTGGAATAACATTCCCAGAGGGGACACAAAGCCAAGCCTGTCCAAACCAAGCTGGCAAACACACCAGCAAACACAGCCAAGCAGCCACAGCACAGAGAGAAACCTGGAAGCTGGGCAGGAGAGCAGGGAAGGCCACTGTGCTCCCAGCCAGCTGCCCCAGGGACACAAAGAGATTGTCACTGTACACGTGTTGGGCTCTGCCTCCTTTGGCAGCCTGTCTGACCCTTCCTGTGGCTAACCGAGGACAGGGAGAGAGCTCCAGGGCAACCCGCAGGGAGCTGCTCCAACCAGAGCTGAACTGCTCTGGGAGCATTAGATCCACGTGGGAACATGAGTTATGGACTGGATATCCTAGAAACGAAAGGATCTTTCAGTCTAGAGGTGCCACTGCTGCTTCACAGGCCAAACACAACATCCCTCTCTCCTCTGCTGCCTTTACACCTCCCTCTCCCGTGCTGGAAGCAACCTCCGTTCCAGGGGATCTTTACAGACCAAAAACAACACCTGGTGCCACACCAACCATGGATCAGGAGTTTGTGACCAGACTGTGCTTTCCTGACACTATATCCTGCAAACCAATGTTTGTGGAGAAGGGAAATCAGTTCACACAACTGCATAATTACAGGTCAAACCTCAGTTATGAGCAGAAGACAAATGTGAGCTAAAATCTTCCTGGGGAACAAATGACACCTCCTGTGATTTCTGACACTGAAAGGCTCTAGAGTGTGCAGCTGGTAGGAAATCTAAGGCAAAATGCCTTGAAAAGTTTGAATATGGTAAATTTCTGACCACTGAGGTCTTTAACAAGTGCAATCACCTGACAGTGGCAGGAAAAGTCAGCAGTTGTGGCAGGTCCCACGTGCCTTTCTCCTCACTGGTGAAGAGCACATTAAACTGAGCTTTTAGTGCCAAACACAGATTCACCACCCACCTTGACAATGGCTGTGCTAGTTCACTTCTGCCCCACTGTCCCACCTGCTGAAACACCAACTGAGCAGCAGCTCCATGTCTAGAGAAGACACTGTAGGAAAAGAGGACACTGAGTGCTGCTGCCAGCTACAGAGCTGAAAAGGAAGGAGCAGCTCTCCATGCAGCCCTCCAGATTTAGAGGTAAGTGACAGGAGAAGAACATGGAAATAGAGTCAAAACCAACCCAGGGAGTTCAAACCACCAGGCTGGGAGGTGTTTCATGGAGCAGTGCTCAGTACAGTCAGTGCTGTGAACTCCCTGCCAAGCTACTCCTCGGAAAACCAACCAAGGCACTGGGCCAAGGACAAAGGCCAGACTGACAAGGTTCTGTGGCAGGGGAAGAGAGT